AAGACTGCAAATCCTCCTACAATTGGATGGAGGTTTTCGATCCAAAGACCCAGACTTGGGAGCCTGTGTTGTGCCCTCTTCTTGCAGAGAGATTGAGCAGTGTTGTATGGAATAGCGCTGTGGTTGAAGGAAGGATCTACTACTTCTTTGGGACAGAGACTTTGGCTTACGATCCAAAGGAAGATAAATGGGAAGCGATTAAAGAGGGGGGGACTTGTTTGGGTTCTTATTGCGTGATCGACGAGGTACTCTATTGCAGTAGTGTTTACCATGAACTCCAATGGTACGACACTAAGAAGCACTTCTGGGTGAATATGAAGGGCTTGGAAGGACTGCCTAAGTCAGCTGAATATGGTTTTGCTAAACTGGTTGATTATGGTGGGAAGCTGGCTGTTTTGTGGTCCAGGTATTATCAACACTGTAAGAATAAGACGATTTTGTGTGCGGTGATTGTGCTTGAAAGACGCAGCAGTGAGGAGATTTGGGGAACGGTCAAGTGGCTTGATCCTGTTCTTTCAATTCCTGAGACTTATAGGCTCGAATGTGCTCTTGCTCCTACTGTTTGATGAATCGGCTCTGTAGTGAATCTTGTGTAGTGGATTAGTTTAGTTGCCACCAGGCTGCAAATGCAGAAGGTTACTGTTTTGCGCATATGCATAGGAAGAAGAACTGTGTAACAAGATGCAATTAGTGAGAGTTTGGTCGTGTGCTGAACAAGACTCCAACCAAGTTTAAATTCTCGATTAAAAGTCTCTTTTGTTTAACCATGTTACTTGTTCTAAAATTATACGTTTTGTTCATGAACCCATTGTCGAACATTATCTACTTTCTGTGAGATCTCAGAATGAGGTCGTTCTAGTATATGTCACAAATTAAACAGAGTTCCATATGAAGCATGATCAATTGCCCTTTATGAACTAATATGTGTATTAACATTAATTCAGATTTGCATATACTCACCAGAGATTCCTGACACAAACATTGTTCACTGGTGTTATATGATACAGGTGACGCACCATGCCTACCATAGGATGAAAAGTGAGAACTTTAGCGTATGCAATCAATACAACAATAACTCTTGTGTCTCTCCATAGCTTACACATCAGATTTTTTTAATTTTCTAAAGCTGATATTTTTAGCAAAAAAAATTACCAATCAAAACATTTCAATAATACACATCAGATTATTTTATATGCTGATTTTTGTTTTTTTTACTAAATCCATTAATCAAAACCCAAACAAATGATAGTCTTTAAAAGCCCAAAATAAATAGATATTTTTATTTTGTTGAAAATAAATACATACTTTTTAAAATTATAAATTGCAGAAAATAATATATATATATATATATATAATTAAAAGGTTGCATATTATATTTGTTGTTGTTGCAAAATAACTGAAATGTATATATTTTTTATTATTATAAATATCTTTAACAAATTTTTTTGATTAAAATACTATTTTTATTGAATGTACTATTTTTAATGTAAAGCTAGAATTGAATTATTGAATTTAAATTAGGTAAGCGTTTCTTTAATTATTTTGTTAAGAAGATAATTTTTCAATTTTGGAATATATGAAGTATTTTTACTACTACCACGCATGTGTGTGCTAAATTAGTTTTTTATTCTGGAGAAAATAAAAACAATCTCAAACTTCTTTTTTCTTTTCTATTCTTTCTCTTTACTAGAGTTTTCTGCTCCTAAAAATAAATTGACTTTAAATAATGCTCATTTAAAAACAATTTCAGTTTTTTTTTGGTGAAAACTTTTGGATCTTTAATTTACAACAAGTTATAGAATCAAATATGAATAATTTTTATTTCAGAAATGTAAAAAAAATAAGTGCAAATGAATCTGGTAAATAATAATTGAAAGATTCCCAACCCGAGCAGCAACTGTAGAAAAGGATAGACTTTAGTTAATCTATAAGCTATTGACTATTACAGAAATTAAAGTATATATTTGATCCGTTTTATATTTTCCTTGTTTATCAATTTAAAGTATGATCTGGTTATTGTAGTAGTAGTATTAATTTAATATTCCCTTCGTTTTTTATATGATGTTTTAAAGGTTTTTTGCTTTAAATTATATGATGTTTTCAGAAATTTATGAAAGAATTGATGCTAAATAAATTTTTTTACTCTTATATTAATAAATAAATAAAAACTTTAATTCATAATAAATTAGGTTATAAATCTATTATAATAGATTTTTTAATTGTGTATAGTCTTAAAATATTATATACAAAAATGGAAAAAGTGTATTTTTCAAAATATTTATTTTTTAATTTTGAGTTTTTAATATTTTTCATCAAACATATTTTACAATCTTTTATAATTAAGTTACTATGTTAGAAGGCAAGAAATTGAAAGAAAAATTATAAAGAAGAAACTCAGTTTGCTTCAAACCGGTGCAGCTAATCAAAGCTAAGAATTGAGTTCAGATGTTAGCATCCTTAAAATAAAAGGTGTAGGATCAGTCAAAATTTAAGGTCATTTTGGAGCCAAGAGAACATGTTAATATGTTAGCAATATACTTGAATTTGATTTGATTAGTTAATAGAAACTTACATTAATTTGTATTTACAGTTTTATGCCTTGCATATAATCACAAAAAGGTAAAAAAGTTGAGTTGTAGTCTAAAATTCATTGAACTGAACAAAATATAATATAATCACAATTAAGATAATGAATTATACGACAACCATATCACATTCTTTCTTGGTTACGCCTAACTATAATAGATATAAAAAGGTGTTAAAAAAACAAAGAAAAATATAACATTTTAAAAGACACAAATTGAAAACAAATAAAAAATGTTAAACCATCTCCATCGTTGGTTTCTTATCCCTTATTAATATAATAATAAAAGTTAAGAGAAAAGGGAGAAACCGTTTCTCAAGTTGATTAAATAAGAAACATTTGTAAGCTTTTTAACAAACTCATTTAATATGTGTTTTTTTATGATTAGTATAGATTTTTTTAATATTTAAAAATTAATATCCTTTTTCTTTTAGATATTCTAAGAGTTGTTCACCGCTGGAGATGCTCTTAGTAACACAAATAAACAATACTAAATTACTTCATAGTTTTGTAATTATGTTTGACACGAAACAAAATTTCTTGGTTTTGACGAAATAATATGATTTTTTTTTTTGCGAGAAAATAAAATTTCTTGGTATTGACAAGAAGATGAATTTTCTTGGGAAAACAAAATTCTCGGTTTTGACAAAAAATACGATTTCCCGGTTTTGGTGGGAAAATAAAAGTTCTTAGTTTAATGGGAAAAGGTAATCTCTATTTTGGCGGAAAAACGATAATTCTCGTTTTGACGGAAAGACAAAATTTCTAGGTTTTGACGGGAAAATGCGATTTTTCGATTTTGATGAGAAATGCAATTTCTCGCTTTGAAGGATAATATGATTTATCTATTTTTGTGGGAAACATAACTTCTTGGTTTTGGCGGAAAAATGCAATTTGACGGTTTTGACAGGAAAATAAAATTTCTTGGTTTGATGGAATAATGACATTTCTCGGCTTGGATGGGAAAATACATTTTTTTGATTTTTGCGGGATAATGCGATTTTTCAATTTTTTGACGGGGAAAATGCAGTTTCTCTATTTTTGGCATAAAAATGTAATTCCTCAGTTTTGGTGGAAAAACGTAATTTCAAAGTTTTTGGCGGGAAAATGCAATTAGATGATTTCGTTGGGCAAAACGTGATTTTTCAGTTTTGACATGAAAACAAAATTTCTTAGTTACGATGGAAAAATAAAATTTCTTTGTTTTGACGTGAAAATGAAATTTCTCGGCTTTGGTGGAAAAATGTTATTTCCGGTTTTTGATGGATAATGTGATTTTTCGATTTTTGTGGGAAACACAATTGTATAGTTTTTGCGAAAAAATGTAATTTGACGATTTTGTCGAGAAAACGTGATTTCTTGGTTTGACATGAAAATGACATTTCTCGATTTGGGAAGGAAAATACAATTTATTAGTTTTGGCAGAATAATTTGAGTTCTCTATTTTTGGCGGGAAAATAAAATTTCTCGATTTCGGCAGGAAAAATACAATTTCTCGATTTTGGCACAAAATTGAAATTTTTCGGGTTTGGCGGAAAAATGCAGTTTGATGATTTCAGCAGGATAACATGATTTTCAGTTTTGGCTAGAAAATTTAATTCCTTCGTTTTGGTTGGAAAACATAATTTCTTGATTTTACCGAAAAATATGATTTTAAGTTTTGTTAAAAAAAATTTGTGGTTTTGTTGAAAAATATAATTTTATTATTTTCTTGATTTTGTCAAAAAAATATGATTTAATGGGGTTTTAGGTTTTTTTGTTTTTTGAAGTTTAATAATATTTTAGCCATTTGTTATTTTAGAATGAAACATCTCCATCCAAATAGTCTAATTTTGTTTATAAATTTGTTTAAATTGTAAAAAATCATCCTAAATAATTTTGTCTCTAAATAATTCTCCTAAATTTATCTAAATTTTGAAAAATCATCCAGATACATTATCTGAATGTTTTTCGATTTTGTTATAAAACTAAGAAAATTCTCATTTTTATTCAAATGAACCATCTAGATGGAAAAACAATCAAGGCACAAATATAAAAATTATGCTAAATACAAAATAAATATAATATTTATTTATATTATAAAAATATTTTTTATATTTATATAAAAAAAATTAAAATTATATATATCCCGCAGCGTAGCCCGGGTAATTATCTAGTTACATCAAAAGGTCTCTCAATAACTCCACAATTACATCGAATGGTCTTTAATTGTTCATAAAGTTTTAAATTCTCTGTATAGTATTGTTTATTTTGTATGTATAACCACCATGTTACTTGCTCTGAAGTTAATAAGAATGACGTTTTTTATATAAAAAGAAGAATATCTATAGCTTATCTTGTCTGAATTGCAATACAAAGGATATAGTTTAATTCCACATGAATCTACTCTCCTTCTATACATATGTATGAGATTCACTCAAGCGATTACATAATTTACATTACTCAGTCCATCTGAGACGTGTTGATCTAACTTGAGTCTTTTGAGACTGTTTCTGTTGCAGCTTTCCTTCGTTGTTGTTGTTGTTGTTGTTGTTGTTGTCCCGTTTCTTCCACAAGTACTAGTCTTTGCTTTCCACACGCATTGTACTGATTCAAGGGGCTTGTCAGGTCTCGGCGCTACAAGAGCCTTATGCTTTGATATCCAACACTTCAACGATGCAAGAAAAGGTACCACGTTGTACAGCTTGAGACCAGAAGCTACACTATCAAGCCGATACCATGCGATTTCACTGATTTCCTTCTTTGTTAGTGGTGCAAAAACCGTATCATCCTTCACACCAGCAACGATGTAAAGCCTCACTTTTTGCTGTCCTTCAAACGTAAACTCTATATACTCTTCTTTCTTGAGTAGCTTCGAGACATCAAATCCAGTTTCCTCCAAGACCTCGCGTATAGCACAAGCATGATCTTCCTCGTTTATATTCTTCTTACCTCGTGGAAAGCTCCAGCTTGATGATTTCTTCCATCCTTTGACCAACAAGCACCGTTCGTATGTCTCGTCCAAGATAATCGCTCCAACGACAGGAACTCGAGACTTGTAAGAGTTAAAGTCTTTGAGTATGTCGTCGATGTTAGCGGCGTAAGGTCTCAACACATCGCATCTGTTGAACAAGAGCCAAGTAAAATCTTTTAAAGACACAGACCTTAGCCTTGGATCGTTTTCTACGAGATTGTCTTCGTAGAACCAATAAGCCTTCTCCACAAGAAACAAGATCCTCTCGAATGATTGTTTATCTTCTTGAGGGCCATTCAGAACAAATCGACAGCAAAGATCTTCAAGAAGCTCCTTCGAGGGGAAGCAGCTTCCGAATTTCTTCGATGAACTTGATGATCGGTGAAAACTCGACATCTTTTTTTCCTCTTTCTTGTGTAGCAAGTTACTCTCCTGGTTAAAACTCAAAACCCTGATTCTTGATGAGACAACGAGTCCTCTCCTGGATGTGTATATATATATTAACAACAAAACGAGAAAAAAAGGAAATTTTCCATTTTTTTCAATTTTTCCTTTTTTGGAAAATGATTGCGAATTTCAATCAGTGAAGCGAGTGCTATTTTACACACGTGCCACACAAGATAATTCACCAACCTGACGGCGAGAAAAAATTATATAATAAAACGACGGCCCAAAAAAAAGCCCAATAAAATATTGAACAGATATAATTTCAAAATCGACGGCTGATATTTAAACACGTTTGCGTTTCTTGACTCGCTACAAATTCTCCAATTGCGTTTCTATAAAGCGTTACTGATTCGCTTCGCTTCTTTCTCTCAAAACTCATTTCCTTCTTCTTACCTAAAAAACCAGATCGAATATCAACAAAGCGAATTTAGGTTTTCTTTTCTAATCTCGAAGAAGATGGCGATGGAGAAGGCTAAAGAGATCGTTTCCAGCAACGGCGTCGTTGTTTTCAGGTCTCTCTCTCTCTCTCTCTTCTCGATTCTTCATTTTTGTTTCCAATTTGCGATTCTCTCGATTTGTGAACGTTTATGAACTTGTTGGTGTATTCGAATCTGTGTTTCTGTATATAGCTTTGATAATCTCTGTGTGTTTAAAGTACATTTCCATGGAAATCGATACGATTAAGCATCCATGGATGTATGATGTATCTAGACGGTTTTGTGTACTAAGGGGAGAGTCTGTGTTTTCTGTTGTGAGTTATCTAATGGGTTTTTTTTTTTGTGTGGTTTCTGTGGAATTGCAGCAAGTCGTATTGTCCATACTGTGTGAGAGTGAAGGATCTTTTGAAACAACTGGGAGCTAAATTCTTGGTCATTGAGCTCGACAAAGAAAGTAATAATTCGCTAATTTTCATTTCATTTGCCTGTCTTTTACTATTGTTCTCCTGCTTGTGTATCCGAGATTCGAGTTTAAGTTTTTGTTAGATCCAAGTAGGTTTTGTTCATGATCCCCATATTCAGAATTTCTCTGTTTTTAATTTTTTTTAGAAAGTTCTATTTGTTCTCTTGGTTGTGTACAATGATTCGTGTTTAGGCTATTAATCCAAGTGTAGGTTGAATGTTTCTCTGCTTTCTCTGGAGACCCAAGTTTAGGTTTTATGTTTGATCCCAGTGTAGGTTTTGCTCACAAACCAATCCTTTAAGATTTCTCTGTTTTGTCTGGAGATAAGTTTAGTTTTTTGATCTAAGCATAGGTTTTGTTCATGAACCCATCCTCAAAGTTTCGTTGTTTTCTCTGGGATCATTATCCTCAACGTACTTATGTTTAAAATGATTCGTGGTTAGGCTATTAATCCAAGTAAAGGTTTTGTTCATGAACTTTACTCACAGCAGAATGTTTGTCTGCTTTCTCTGGAGATCCAAGTTTAGGTTTTTCGTTTGATCCTTGTCCAGTATAGATTTTGCTCACAAACCAATTCTTGAAAATTTCTCTGTTTTATCTAGAGATTCAAGTTTAGTCCTTTTTTTTATCTAAGTATAGGTTTTGTTCATGAACCCATCCTCAAAGTTTCGTTGTTTTCTCTGGGATCATTATCCTCAACGTACTTATGTCTATTACAATGATACGAACTCACCAGAGATCCAGACTCAAGCATTGTTCTGATAAGAACAAACTGCTTTATTACTTATCAATCAACGATTACAGAGTAAACCGAATGAATCTCACAAGCTGAGATCTCGTTCCTCGCAGTTTCACATTGTAATCTCTCTCCCTCTCACCAATTCGATGGTTCAAAACAATTGTTTCTTTCATTTATTTATACTAATGAAGACTCTTCGAAACTTCTGGTCTTCTCAGAGTGTTTGCTTGTTGACTTTCTTCTCTTCACACTTTAGCATTCTCCTCGTCAACTCACACTCTGTTTTTCTTCAAGTCACTCTGTTTTTCTTCAAGACTTAGACTCTCCATGGTTTATCAATACCCCCCTCGGCAAAACTCAGCTTGCCCTCAAGCTGGAAATTAAGAAACTGATGCTTGAGCTCACGTATTAATAGCCACAAACTCTCATGAGCAGGCAAGCCTTTCCACGATACGAGAACCTCCAAATGACCGTCGCTTGTATAACGTGTGTCCAAGATGTCCTGAGGTTCAATGATAAACTCATCATTCTCGGAGAGGGTGGTCGGTAGGGGATTGACTTCGTGATGAACACCCAAAACCTGTTTCAACTGAGACACGTGAAACACTGGGTGAATGCGAGAGTGATCCGGTAACTGAAGGCGATAAGCAACCGCACCAATACGTTCCACAATTTTAAACGGTCCGCAATACTTCGCTGCCAGCTTTTGACACCAACGTTTGCCACTATAGATTGTCGATACGGTCTTAACTTCAAAAACACCAAAGACCCGACATCATAGACAACGTCTCTTCTCTTCTTGTCCGCGTTATCTTTCATGATGGCTTGAGCTTTAGACAAATGCTCCTTAATCTCCTTCAGCATTTTGTCTCTTTCGCGTAATAATGACTCAAGTTCACCATTGTTTGTTGACCCTTCTTCAAATTGTAACAAACGTGGAGATGCCCGACCATACACCACATGAAACGGAGTCGACTTAATGGCAGTATGATAAGTGGTGTTATACCACAACTCAGCCCAACAGAGGAATTGAGACCAACGACGAGGGTGCGCTGAAGTAAAGCATCGGAGATAAGTTTCCAAACAGCGATTAAGCACTTCAGTTTGGCCATCTGTTTGTGGATGATATGCCGTACTGAACTTCAACTGTGTGCCCATCTGTCTGAACAATTCCTTTCAGAAAGCGCTCTGAAAAATATGATCTCTATCACAGACAATCGATTTAGGCACCCCATGTAGCCGTATAATCTCCTTTACGAACTTAGCCGCAACATCAACTGCAGTGAAAGGATGGCGTAAGCCAATGAAGTGAGCAAATTTAGAGAGTTTATCCACCACTACTAATATCACATTTACGCCCTGTGAGAGAGGCAATCCCTCAATGAAGTCCATGGACACGTCCTCCCAGATTTGATCAGGAATTGGCAACGGTTGTAGTAACCCAGCTGGTGCAAGCGTTGAGTATTTACTTGTTTGACACACTTGACACTGAGCCACATAGTTTTGAACCGTCTTTCGCATTCCAGACCAATATATTGAAGCTTGAATACGCTTCAGCGTTTTTAAAACTCCTGAATGTCCTCCCAACAAACTATCATGACATTCTTTCAAAATCAAAGCTATCTGGGTTGAATCAGGGGGAATAACCAGCCTCTTCTTGTACATCAACTGACCATTCACTACAGTATACCCTGGTTTCACTACTTCACCCGCTATCACTTGTTGACGCAATCTTTGAATAGGCTCACACAGCTCAATTTCTTTCAACAAATCCTGCAGCTGCAATGTTTGAGGCACTGTCAAAGCTAAAAGTGAAGTACTAGTTGACGAAGCTATTCTCGACAATCTATCTGCAGCTTTATTTTCAACCCCGGGTTTAAACACAATATCAAAATCATAGCCCATCAGCTTGTGGAGCCACTTTTGATATTCCATATTGACCTCTCGCTGTTCCAGTAAGAATTTCAAACTCTTCTGATCTGTTCGAACTAGGAACTTCTTCCCTAACAAGTAATGGCGCCAACGTTGAATGGCCATAACAATCGCCATTAGCTCCCTGTCGTAGATTGGCTTTAACCTCTCTTTCTCAATCAAACCATAACTGAAGTAAGCAATCAGGTTCAAGTTCTGCATTAAAACGGCTCCCAGACCAAAACCTGAAGCATCCGATTCCACAATGAAAGGTGTTGAGAAATCTGGTAACGCCAGGACAGGAGCATGAAGCATCGCATATTTCAACTTCTCAAATGCAGTTTGAGCCTCTTGAGACCAAGCAAATTGATCCTTTTTCAGCAACGCAGTTAATGGTTTTGCAATCACCCCATAACCTTGTACAAATCTCCTGTAATAGCCGGTTAATCCCAAAAAACCACGCAATTTTTTGACTGTCTTTGGAGTTGGCCAATTCTCCATAGCCTCTGTCTTGCTCTTATCAGTTTCTACACCTCTAGCTGATATGACATGACCAAGATACTCCACTTGCGTCTGCCCAAAGGAGCATTTTTTTTTGTTTGCAAACAAGCTATGCGCAGTGAATAACGAAAGAACCATTGTTAAGTGTTATACATGAGTTTCCAAGTCCGAGCTGTAAACGAGGATATCATCGAAGAACACAAGGACAAACTTTCGGAGATACGGCCTGAATATTTCATTCATCAAAGACTGAAACGTGGCAGGAGCATTTGTCAAGCCAAAAGGCATGACCAGAAATTCATAGTGTCCGTCATGTGTCCGAAAGGCTGTCTTCTCCACATCACTCTCAACCATACGTATTTGATGTTACCCAGATCGTAAATCTAGTTTTGAAAAAACCGCAGCTCCATGTAACTCATCAAGTAACTGATCTATAACTGGGATGGGAAAACGATCAGCTATTGTAGCTCTGTTAAGGGCTCTATAATCAACGAAAAATCTCCAACTCTCATCTTTCTTCTTCACCAACAAAACTGGACTTGAGTAAGGGCTTTTACTCTGTTTTATTATCCCATCTGAGAGCATTTGTTTCACCAAACGCTCCATCTCCTCCTTCTGAGCTTGTGGATAACGATATGGTCGAACATTGATGGGATTCGTACCATGTGCTAAATTAATAGCATGCTCACGATTGCGAATGGGAAGCAACTGAGTGGGAATCTTAAACACTTCTTCAAACTTCTCCAAGGTGTTCTGTATAACCAACGGCCACTCTTCTTGTTTCTGCTGTTGTTTAGGTTCGGGAGCAAGGGACTTCAAGGACAATTTGGTAGCATGTAATGTTGGATCACCACGTAGCATTACCATTTTGCCTTTGTAAAGAAATGAGAATTCGTGTGTCTCCCAATCCACTTGACACTTTCCCAAGGTTCTCAGCCACTGTACCCCCAAGATAATGTCCGCTGTTCCCAAGTCCAAGGTTATGAAATCTGCTTCAAACTCCAACGCTGCAACCTGGAACTTTACTTTTCTGCAGACTCCTAACCCATTCATTGTTATCCCTGTACCCAATCTGACTTCTAAGCCCTTCTGTTGTTGAACTTTCAAACGGCACTTTCTGACCAATGATGGTGAGATGAAGTTGTGGGTTGCACCGCTATCCAGCATCACCACGATTTTATTAACTCCAATCTCGCCCTGAACTTTTGTAGTAGTTAGCGAAGGGACTCCAAAGAATGCATTGAATGATAATTCCATCAACTTTGTGATCTGTCCTGTATCTTCTTCCACTGTATCATAGAACTCCTCTTCCACCAACTCTACTTCACACCCGTCAATGACTGTCAGAACCTGTAATTCCTTATTAATGCAAACATGTCTGTGGTAAAACTTCTCCGGACACTTATAGCACTCGTTATCCTTCTTTTTGCGAGCGTACTTTGCTGGAGAGAGATACTGCCTTGGTGCAAATTTGCGTGGACCCTGCTGTTGATTAGCTTTAACCAATTGCTTCTCTTGATTCTGACCTGATTCCAACAACAATGGTTTAGTCTTCCATGACAGAGTGGCTTGTTGATTGTTGCTTGAGCGATAGGGATGATATTGAGACTCTTTGTTTCTCTTAGTCTCATATGGTAAAGCTGGGACCATTGAGCGATACATCAGCCCATCCTCCATTTGCAACACCGTAACGATCATATGCGAAAGATCCCTTGGTTCTTTCAGCCTTATAATCTCCTTCAGACTCGGGCTTAAACCATCCAAAAATATTGCTTCCAACATCTCATCATCGACTCCTGTAATCTGTGAAGACAACTCCTCAAACTCATGTACATAAGCAGCTGCAGAACCAGTTTGTTTGAGACCAGCCAAGCTCTGCTTTGGTGATTGCATCTGAGGATTCCCAAATCTTGTCACAAGACGTTTTTTGAACACAGGCCAACTCGGAAAAGGAATGTGTCGCTCTTCCCAATTAAACCAGCTCAACACATCTCCCTCGAGACAGAATGACACCAATTCCAACTTCTGATCTTCGTGATACTGACCTAGGCGGAAGAATCATTCAACTCTCGCGATCCATCCGTGGGGATTATGTCCTTCGAACACAGGCATATCGATTTTGCGCAACATACTCTCACGTGTTGGCAAGACTGCAGAATTTCCCAACGTATTCGACCTAGAATCTCTAAGGTTTGGTTCTGAGATCGAATCGTTTACCTGGATCGGCTGTTTCTCCGGGTTTCGTAATGGAGTTTGGTCGCCAACCGTAGGAAGATGTTGTTGAATCAACTCCATCATCGAATTCACCACCGCCGTCATCTTATCCATCTTCCGATCCGACGCAATCGTTTGCTCCTCTGCCTTCGTTCGCCATGCCAACAAGGATTCGACCGAAGAAGCCAAACGATTCATCCTGTTCTCCGATTCCACCACCGCATCATGTAATTCTACCACACGATCCGCCGTCGCACTTGTAATCTTTGACATCGCGTTTGATCTGATCGCAGCTCACGACGCACCAATTTGATAAGAACAAACTGCTTTATTACTTATCAATCAACGATTACAGAGTAAACCGAACGAATCTCACAAGCTGAGATCTCGTTCCTCTCAGTTTCACAATGTAATCTCTCTCCCTCTCACGAAAATACAATTCGATGGTTCAAAACAATTGTTTCTTTCATTTATTTATACTAATGAAGACTCTTCGAAACCTCTGGTCTTCTCAGAGTGTTTGCTTGTTGACTTTCTTCTCTTCACACTTTAGCATTCTCCTAGTCAACTCACACTCTGTTTTTCTTCAAGTCACTCTGTTTTTCTTCAAGACGTAGACTCTCCATGGTTTATCATGTTCATTGCTGTTGTGTAATATTACAGGTGATGGTAGCAAAGTTCAGTCAGCTCTTGCTGAATGGACAGGACAACGCACCGTGCCTAATGTGTTCATAGGAGGAAAACACATCGGTGGCTGTGACAGTAAGTAGAAAGCAGAGCAATTTCATTCGAGTTTTTGTTCTTTTTTGGATCTCTGTTCTTTTTTTTTTCTAAACCATAATTTTGTGATATTTTTAATGTTCTGTAGCAACAATGAGCATGCACAGTAACGGGAAGTTGGTTCCTCTGTTAACTGAAGCTGGAGCTATCGCTGCAACGGCTGCAACTACATCTGCTTAAGAGCATCACATCTATTTGCGATTGCTACTTTGAGGAATAAAAAAGTTTGAGTCAGCAATAAGAACTTGTTTTGTCGTCAAAACAGTACGAAAATGTTTCAAAGTTGTTCTTATGTCGAAGTCAACTCCGTTTTGAACTTTTAATATATATTATTTTGTTATCCAGAGATGCTTTCTACTTCAGATTCGTAGTATATTTGCTTACTATTCTAGTTTTGCAAATGTTTAATGCCTATAGTTCAGAAATAAAGAATGATGAGAAAGATCAAAATGTATGAATGCTTAAAGCCATAAAAAATAAATATTTTAGAGAATAGGACCATCAAGCTCTAACTAAATTAAAGTGAAAATGGAAGAAAAGAAAGTGGATCCTTCAAAAATAAAATAAAAAACGTGATCTTCGAAAACATAAACAACACCATCAAAATTCTTCAATTTGTGTTTTTCCCTAATGGCGTTTAAGTTTCTTCCTTTGGTTTCTTCACGAGCAAGTTTGAGAGACCAATGGTCAATGCAGAGGATGACACCAAAGAAGTTTTGAGAATGCTGATGAGCTACAATCGAAGCAAGATGAACAAGATTTAAATATTAATCACTTAGGCAAACTGATAATACCAACGAACAAAAGGTAAATTAAAGGTATTGGAATAAGTAAAGGTTAATGGGCTAGAAGACTTTAATCTTTAGAAAGTATGTGTAAGATATGTCTATATCCGAAGTTGGAGGGTGGGGGAATATTGACTAATATATAAGGGATTTGGGTTAATCCACTAATTGCCAATTGGTTTTGGATTGGAATTTCAAGAAACTTAACATGGTATCAGAGCCAAGTTCACATTCTCGTTGTCCGGCCTAGAAGTGGCTTTGGCCCCTCGACCCGAAATTAATGGTCATGGCAAGATTAATGGTTAGATGAACCATTATGTCGAGGGGGTATTGGGATAAGTAGAGGTTAATGGGTTAGAAGACCTTAATCTCTATAGAGTATGTATAAGATATATCCCACATCGGAAGTTGAGAGGAACCTTGACTAATATATAAGAAATTTGGGCCAATCTACTCATTGCCAATTGGTTTTGGGTTGGAAACTCAGAAAATTTAACAAAAGACAATAATATTACAAGCATATACCTCTGTTCTGGAAATGCCAATATGATGCTCCTCCAGATCACTGATGTCTACCTTCATCTTCTTCAACAAGCCAATGGTCGAAGATGAATTCATCTGAGTTATAATCAGATCATTAGACACGATGAACTTGGTGTTTCTCTTCATAAACCCACCACGACATGTTAATGAAGTTCCAGGCTTTATTTTAGAATTATTTGGAAACACTTTCACAATTTTGCCACCTTCTGAGATCAGAGACCTTTTTATCTGCTTGGCGAGTATGCGAGGCTCCCAAGAATTGTGAGGAACTAAACATTCATAAGCTGATGATAGGTAAGACAGTTATTGAAACAGTTCGTTGTGGCTGCATTTATAGAAATCAGGATACAGATAAAAGATGGAAGCACACGATCTTCTAGAATGGCTTCTGCACAAATTTCCGACACATCTCAAAATGATATCATCACTTGAAAATGAACAGGCCAGCTCAAGAGGGAATATCAGAAAACTGAGAAGAGAATCAACGAAGTCTTCATTGCACTCAGCATAAAGAATCTCCCCGTCAAGCTTTCTAACATATACTTTGACTGAATACACACTGCCTGGATCTACACACCCCTTTTTTTGGACATGTGAGGATAACTTTTCGAGCTTACTTGTTATGCAAGGTTTCCTGAGGTATACACAAGTTAAGGGAGTTTCCAAATTAAATAAACATCAGCACCTAGATTTAGCCAAATACTAGTTGTGTTAAGAGCTTTATGTACTACAATGAGGAAAAATAACAAAGATGTCAAAGGTATGTACATACCTCTTCGAGCCCTACATCAAGTTGGGTTTCACGCAGATCGCTAAAACCATGATACCCAAGATCATTTAGAACTTTCATGATAACACCAATTGAGTTTAGCGTCACGTTCAAATCATCAGTCATAATGAATGATGATCTTGAACTGACAAACACTCCATCTGCACTATCTCCTATCACTTCTCCAACTTGATCTTCTTCTGGGACCAGAATCTGATAGTAAATCAAAGCTCCACAACGACATCTCGAGGTGTTAAAATTTCTGTATTCATTAATGCATAAATTACCTTTCTTAAAGAAGTTTGGACATATGAAGATGTTGGTGGGATCAGTAGTGTACCACACATGTTCAGCTTGAGCCTTCTGCAATGAATTTCTTTACTATTCTTCGGATTCATTAGCATAGTCTTGCAAGCCTCAGTCTCAAAATGGTCGATGCCCATTTCTGCAACATTTTTGTTAAGGTTTCTATAACAGTCTAAGATCATCTGCGAATTTTTATGATTCTCTAACAATTTAGCGATTTTATCCATTGGGAGAGTCAAAAGACTGATGAGGACATCAACGAAATCCTGATTTGCCTCAGCCAAAACAACTTTGTTTTTCTTCTCATCAATGAGAAGTTTCAAGCTAAATTTTGCACTTGTAGTCATTGTAGGATTAGGAGAAAGAAACGAGAAAAATCAGGAAAGAAATAAGAAAAAGAATCAACTAAGAATCTGAAGAGGTTTTAAAAACGGTCAATCTACTATATAATATTGAACCCTAGGAGCTTCCTCGTAATATAATGCTTGGGACTTGGAATATAAGTTCCTAAGGATATTTGATAAAGTAGTGAGCAATTAGAGCTTTACTAATAAAGTAAATCCTCATTTTCAGAATCAGTTGGAATGAATTTGCATCCCACGCCTGGGCTCACCAGCAGAGAACGAGTAATGAGGAAGCTTTCATTTGCCCAAAGTCAGCATTCAATCTAAGTACTGCAGGGCCCATGCATTGGAACCTCCAAACCTTAAGGTTATCTCTATAAATATCTCATTTTCTCTCTCTTTTTGAGGAAGCCAGCCCCTGCCCACGAAATCCATACAAAAGGACGCTCTTTCTACTCCCAAACTCACTTCTTCTTACTTCCTTCATTTATCTCCTAGTTTTGTGGCCGTTTTCTAACTTGGGCGTCGGAGCCCCTTTAGGGGAGACGCCCCCAAAGGTTTCTTGACCATTCCCTTGTGTCTCAGATAGAAGATCTATGTTAGATTGTCCCCGCCAGTCAGACTGTCCAGCGAGCTTCCGGTAGGCTCTAGTAAGTTCTCGGGAGATAGCAGTCTGCCACCGTCATGCTGTCCAGAGAGCTCCCAAGAAGCCCCGCCAAGCTCCCGGGAGACAGCAATCTGCCCCTGCAGGCTGTCCAGCGAGCTCCCATGAGGCTCTATCAAGCTCTAGGGAGACACCAATCTGCCCTCGCAGGCTGTCCAGCGAGCTCCCCGGAGTCCGTAGAAAGCTCCCCGGAGTCCGTAGCAAGCTCCTGGGAGACAGCAGTCTGCCTCCGTCAGACTGTCAAGCGAGCTCCCAGGAGGCCCTAGCAAGCTCCTGGGAGACAGCAGTCTGCCTCGTCAGGCTCTCTGATACAGCAAGCACTTAGTCTTTGATATCTCTTGTATTTACATGATATACACTTTGTTTGCAAGGGTGAGAATGCAATGAGGTTATCAAACTCAAATGCAAGACAGGTTGTAGTACAGCATGCAAGAGAGAGTCAATCCACACCTAGGATGATAGAAAATGAAAAGAGAATGCAAGGACTAATGCAAATCTAAGCGAAACAAGATAGGTTTTGAGAAAATCCCTAAAAACTAGATGCAGCAACTAAATGGAATGCAACCTATTTTAAAATTACCAGGAATGATCAAACTACTATGAGGAACAAACAGAATAAATAAAGGACAAAGCTTCGAATTACTAAAATTCGACTAGTGGATCGACCATGAGATCGACCACTAGATCGAGCAATAACAATCGATCTCGTCTAAAAATGCAAGAACAGTAAAACTAATGACCAGGATGCTATCAAAGATCAAGCGAATGGCGAGAGAAGATGTAAAGATGCTAAAAAAGAGGGCCTAAGGTTGAGATTCATGGTCAGGGGTTTCAAAGGTTCGACCTTGGGTTGAAAACTTTAAATCGACTCACTTTGTGAGAATCTCTAAGCCTTGAAAACTAAACAAGATCTATCCGTGACTTTCGGTATAGATCACTCCTTCATCCTCTCCTTCAAACCCATGGCTTTTGGTGGAAAGAGAGGTCGAAGGGCATGGAAAACAGATTTCAAATGAATGGCTTAACTAGTCCCCCAAACTTCCATGACTTTTGGGAAGGGTTAACTAGTCTCTAGGGTGTGATCTTCAGAGGTCCCTGAATCCTGTCAAGGTAAGGAACCTCTCGGATCATGAAGCTCTTGGCGTGAGAGTCTTCAAGCTTTGAGAACTCAACACCCTAGAAGAGATAGGCATTAAAACGCTTAGAAAACCCCAAGATCGAAACCCTTTAGACCCCTTAATCCTCTCAACCCCAAACCCAAATGAACTACTCACTACACATAAGGTAAATCAAGCAAAGCATGGAAAAGGAAACGATGAACATGAAAAGAAAACTAGATTAAGCTGAAAACGATTCGATTACAAGGCTCAAGAAAACTCAAGGTTTGACAATGGTGTTCTTCTTTCAAAACCAGAGAGAAAACATAAAAAAGATAAGGATGAAAAGTTGTGTGGGAAAAGGACGTCGCCGCCTTCCCAAAATGGCCAAAACAAGCTGATGGTCCCCCCCTCGCTAGTGGCCAAAAGTGGTTGAAAGGACAGAGATCGACTCTAGGATCGAGCGGTTCTCTCGATCATCTCCGAACATCGTGTCTTCAGCTCGATCTGAGTCTCGATCATCTTCGGCGGATCGAGTGTTGCATCCGATCTCGGTATCGATCTTCGGTTGGATCGAGTGGTGTACTCGATCTGGCTATCGCTCTGCATGGCATCATTTACGTCCGTACCATTTGATCGACTGCTTCACTCGATCCTTGTCTCGATCATTCTCCTTGGATCGCCTAGTCTTCTCGATCTTCTGGTCGATCACATCCTAGATCGACCGGCCATGCTCGATCTGCTCCTCGATCTCTGATCCTTCGCAAATATCCGAGCTTCCACGAACTGCTACAACAGCTTCAGCACGTCCACGAACCTCCACGACTCCAAAGCAGCCAGAAACAACCTAAATGTGATGCAAAATGCAAGGAACATGCGTATGCTGGTGCAAGAATGCTCTAGGACTCTAAGTGATGCAATCAAACCTAAAACGTGATACAAATTCATGAAAAGCTAATTAATGAGTATGCAAAATGTATGTAATATACAGTAACATCATTACACCATTTGGGCCTGCATTTAGTATATGTTTTGGTTCTCTTTTGCATGTTTTCCCTTAGTTTTTATCCCATTTTCTTCTCCTTTTAGACTTAGGTTGCATTTAGGATATATTTTGTATTTTTCTTGCATTTTGGATGTTTTTAGGTGCTTATGGAGCTAAAAGGAGCTTGGAGGAGCTTTGAGGATGATCCAGGAAGCTAGCTGGACCAAAGGGAGCAAAAGGGATCAAAGCAGACAATCTCTGCAGAGCTTTTCGGTCAGAGCACGGAGAACATCGATCAAAGGGGTGATCGATGTAAGATTTTTGGTCAGGGGCATCGATCAAGAGGTAACCGATACGAGTACATCGATCATCAGCATCGATCAGGAGTGATCGGTACAAACGCCCCGAGTTAATTTTTGTCACCACATCGATCACTGCCCAGATCGATGTAACCCTACATCGATCAACCCTGATTGTTGTAACTGATCGATGTGAACCCAGACCAAAGACCATTTATCTACGATTTTGCCATTTTCGCTTAGACTCCTATAAATACGAAAAATCCCTAATTTTTGGGGACAATCTTTTATCCAGTAGTTCGTTCTTCCTTGTTTAGATCTTTGGGTTTTATAATTTGAATCTTTGCTTGATTTTAATTAAAGTTTGCATCTTTCATCTTGTTTAAGCTCTCTAATCATGATTATTCATCTTTCTCTCTTTGAATTGATGGTTTTAATGGTGCTTAGTGAGTAGTCCTTTTAGAGATTTTGAGATGGGTTAGGTTTAGGGAATTTGAGGCTCTATCTATGATCGCTTAGTGTTAATTCTTCCATTTCCTTTCTTGATTGCTGTGCTTAATGCTTAATTAGCCCTAGCTAAGTTGATTAAGATCTTAAGCTCATTTTATGCCCACCAAGTGTTTGATGAAATGTCTGAACTGTTTTGCAAGAAAATTGCTTATCCTAGCTCAAGAGATTGACTGTCTAGGGAGTGATTTGGCAATATAGGGTTGATAGATTTGTCTTAATGCTTGCTCTTTATCATTTCACTAATGAGAATTAGTTTTTGATTTAGTAATTAGCAAAGTAATTAGTGCCAAGAGATTGGATTAGTCATATAAATGAATCCTATGCATAAGGAATAGCATTGTGTGAGTTTGTAAGCATCTCAGACTGAGTCAAGAGTTCCCTAACACCAATTATCTCATCTCAAGTCCCATCTTTTCTCTGTTTTAGCTTGAATTCGAAATTGCCCTGCTTTTTACCTTCACTTTGGTTGTTTTGCTTGCTTTTCTCCCTATTTTGTGTTTGTTTGGTTTCTGCTTGATCACTTAGGTTGCTAGATATTCTAAAACCCCTTTTATATCTGCTTGAATTAGGAAATCTACTATAATCCTGCTGTTTCAATCTTCCCCTTTGGATTGACATTAAAATCCAAAGCTTCAGTGACTAGTACAATGGGTGATTGACCAAGAGAGTCAAAACTCTTGTATCAGTCTTGTACGAATCTCACGAACAAGAACAAAGCAAAGATCAAAGGCAAAGCAGCGACCATTGCTTTTGAAGAAAGTTCAATCTTTATTGATAATCAAAAGGTAACCAAAGATACAACGCTGCAGGGGAGCTTTATAAACAGCTCGTCAGCTAGCCCTAGGGCCAAAATAAAAGCAATAAAACGACAACACAAAGGAAAAGTAAAGCTACAAAATGCTTAAGGCGCAAAAACATCAAAATAGGAAAGTTCACTTAACTAAAGAAAAATAAAAAGCTAAACTAAGCCGACTCCTTTGTGGCTTGAACTGATGATTCCTTGGTGTGTTGTGATGCTCAAGAACCGTTGAGGCAAGCCTCAGTACCTGCACAAATCGTATAAATTGAGAATACCTGGTTTTGGCGCGCATGATGCTTGTTTGGTACGTTGGAGAATGTTGCTTGTTCTGGTCTTTTTGGGGCGAGTTTCTGGACGTTCGCTTCGTACTGATGTGTGTAGAGGTCGAGCTTGTAAGTGTCTTCGAGAGTCCCCTCATCAAGGCTTGAATGATCTTCTTGCTCCAATGGTACTCTAACGGCTTCTCTACTTGTACTGCTGTTGCAGCATGGAAGAACATCAGTATGCTGCTACTTTTGGTTTGCAAGGTCCACAAGGTCTGCAAGGTCCTCAAGGAATTCAAGGCTTACAAGGTGAACAAGGACAAGCTGGTCTACAAGGTGATTAGGGAATGAGAGTTCAAAGA